CACCACGACACTCGTGTCGTCATCATCATCGAACTCTCGTGGATAAGTGGCTCAATAGAACACAGCAGAAATTCCGACGATGAATGATAGTGATCGAAAGTACGCGTGATCTCGGATGAAATCATGCGTGTTCGAAAGGCCAGTTTCGATAGTCGTATTGCGCAGCGGGATGAAATGCGGCGAAAAGCTCACGAGTATTAATTAGTCATCCACGGCATTCCGAAAAATGTCTTTGAGGATATCTTGTCGCTGGAGCTCGATGTCAGTGCGTCACGTTTCAAGATTATTACGGACGACACTCGCAAAGAAAAGAATTTCGGCTCGGTATAGCTGATATCGCACAGTCATCTTGCAAAGAGATCCTATAATCTCTGTTGCGAGCGATATTGCGAGATGATTTCAGCAAAGACAGATTTTTCGTTTCACATTTTCTCATGGAAGTTACGATGGAAAGCGACGAGATGCGTTTGACCGACCTACGCATGGCCGTTTCTGGTAAATGATGTCGGAAAATGCCGACCTCGAGTAACTGCTCCAGCATCCGGTTTTCACCGACACGTTCTATTGACGCACCAATCTCATTATTGGCCAGCGGGAAAAGCGGCGGAACAGATTTTTTTGATCAATTTTGTTGTCAACTATCAACAAGTTTGCTTTATTAGGGAACTGGGCCATCTTTGAAGAGGCAGATTTTAAATGTCATTGATCGCGCGACCTTCGATGGAATTTCGCGTACAGTTATTATATACATGTCGCCGCGCACCATGTCAAATCGGTCTAAGTAATCCGTTTCAGAGCTGTCTTGTAACATGAAATGTGTGATTCTCATAGTGTGAATAACGTTGCTGAAAGTGTGATGTGTGCATAATTTAAGTGCGTGTTCTATGTCGGAATAATAACGCTCGCAGATAAATGTTTCATGGTGTTCACTGTCTATATGGATATATTTGAAGAAACATTTTTCACTGCAATCGACATGAACAAGGAAATAAGTAAGATTTTTTGCTTTCACTTGGATATATACTTAGTTGTAGGATATACAATAATTGTGACTATGGGACGATTTGGCGAACAAGCCGCAATTTGATGTAAAAGTCACGATTGATCATTCGTTTCGTAGAAAAATGATATTGACATTCGTAGGAGTAGTCAAACAACTTTGATTCTTTTATGATACGGCGTTATTTAATAATTTATCGAGCTATCGTAACTCTTAGAATTTGCGGATTGAGAAATAGAGTGAGATGTATATACATACATGCATACTTATCGTATATATAATCCATCCTAACATTCTGTCAGAATTGTCTATTTTTCTTTTTAATAGAAAAAAAAATAGAAAAACTTCGATTGTCCGATATATTATGAAAAGACGTATGCATCGAATTTTTATGCATATGTTTTTGACGAAATACAGAAATAATACTCAAGGGAATGGTTTTGTTTACTTAATCATTTAACCTAAAAACTAGTTTTGTATTTTTTTTTTTTTTTTTTTTTAATACTTGCGCGACTCGCTCTCATTGGCCGAAAATACATTTATGTAATTAGTGTGACGAGATATCTCTCGTGGATAAAATCGGTTGCTTACGAAAGAGAAACACGCGTCGAGCCGTCGTCAACGTTCGCTTCGGAGTCCCGGAGGGTCCATAATGGTTTGTTATTGATCTATCTCCGCGCACCTTCCTTACACTTTTCTTCTTCCTTTCGTCCTTCGTCCTGCTGCCTTCGTCCATGTCGACGACGATGTTGGGATACGTGGGAGGGTTGGAGAGGCGAGGAGAGAGCACGGCAGTCCTACGCAGGAATTCCGCGTATCCTCCCCCGCGCCACGATTCCCAAGACTCCTCTCGAAGAAAAAAAACACCTTACCCTCGTCTTTTTTTATCGAGAATCTCGCAAAAAGTTTCTGCGAGAGAGAGAGAGATAGGGAAAAAGAAGAGCTGCTGTGAAATATTTCGTGGTCACAGAGCTCGATATGGAGAAGAGTACTTCTCTCTCTATGATTGAACTCTTGAGTTAAAACTTATTCGTTGACAAATGTTATTATGTTTCTTAAGTTTTTTTCAAATAATTTCAAATATTAGGTTGATGAGAGGAAGAAAGAATGTCTCTCATATGTGAGATGCAAATCCAATGGTTTTGAATCAAGTTGTTTGTTTCTTTAAAAATGTTATATTTTTCAAATATATTAAATTTGTTGTGGAATAAGTGAATATATATATATATATATATTTACAGAAAATTAATAAATTTACGAGAAAGGAAAAGAAGGAATTAATACAATTCGCTGAGTAAAATATTAATTTTTAATTTCCTGTACACATGTCGACTAATAAAACAGTTGACTCGTTTTGTGACATAGTATCAAAAAGCTTTTTATTATATGATTACTAAATATTTCTATAAGATTACCTTTGTAATTGGCTTTGTTTTATTTTATCATAAATCAATGCATGTTATTCCGGAGTTCGCTAGTACCCGTCTCTTTCGTGATGCGATGCGTTTCCCGAGTAAAAGATCGAACGCGCATTTCTAGGAATGATATTACTACTGATATGTAATGATATTGCTATAGATATATATAAGCGTGAAATTCGATCAATCGGCGCAACGATGATTGACGTCATGACTATAGCGTCGGAATGTAATTAATATTGCACAAATGAGACTGCCATAAACTTACATCAATTAGCGCAATTTGCGTCTCTAAAACGACTTCGTCTATAGTTTGCGCATATATAATTGTGCGAATAGTTTTACCTGTGGCGCATGAGAATACTACATATTTGGACGCGTGTCGCCTAATATATACCATATTTATACAATGTTACATGCCTTTATGCATCTCGTAAAATATACGTTTGTACACACACACACACATGAGTTGTAATGTAAAGACATTGAAGCGCCTACTGGCAATACAACGAATGAGTTACGACACGTGAATAAGTCATGCAGCGCCACGATCTAAAAACCTTCTTTTCTAAATTGACGTAAGTCGACGCGAGCTCGTTGTCGATGAGGACGTCTTCAGTCGTCGATATTCGCGATGTGCAGCAGCAGGAGCGACTTTATTTTATCACTTAAAGAACCGATACTAAGTGCACGCCACGTCATCTGAATAATAAATGCTCTTCCATCGACACACTACACGAGCCATACATACTCTATCGATATCTTCGCTGCATATGAACTTTTTTCATTCTTCTCAGCGAAACGCGACCGCGAAGCTAAACACGAGCAGCGTGTCTTCGCGAGAAGAGACTTTCGCTCGCCAACTGTCCGCGTTCTTTGTTTAACCTACGATTATCTTTTGGACTTGGTACCCACCTGTCATTACGATACATTGTGGCGACATTTGAGTTTCGTGCGCCGTTCTTTGCGAAAGAGAAATATATTTGCCGCGTATTTCCTGATTTATATGACGCCGCGAGTAATCCCGAATTACGTGAGAAAGAAATGCCTACATTGTAACATAACAATGCTAAGCTACTTCCTTGAATTTTTTTAACAGTTACTTTGTAAAACTACCTTGTAAACACTCAATCAAATATCATAATTATCGCAACATTTGACGCAAAAACCTAGATATAATTTTATCTTCTCTTCTTGAAGTTTCTTTCAAATTTAAAAATAAGACTAAGTTTTCGGCATTTGTAAACACCGCCGGTTGAAGATATAATTAAATTAAAACAATTTCAGCAAACTCATAAAATCTTTATGTAAACGCACAAAAATGATTTTTATATTTATTGAGATGATTGTTTTTCTTTATTTATAACATTGGAAATTTTATATCTCGGATAAATAATGATAATAATATTTGTACAAATGAATTAAAGATAATTAACGATATGTTTTTACGTGTATGAGAAAGAGTTTATTTTTTTCACAGACCTGCGAATACAGGGCCTGATCATTGCTCACGTTGCATGACACGACAAGATAGTAATTAAAATGGTAATCATCGGTTCGATAAAATGCTATGTCCATTACAAAGCGACCAACTACCGGGAAAATATTAATTTGCATCCTTGAGCGTTTCTACGTTTTATAAAAATAATGAAGGCGCTCTTTTTTCTCGACGGGATAGCTTCCTTTTGGATGCCGTTTTCATCATAATAACTGCGGAATAAGAGGGCAGTAATTACTTTTCGTGAGACTGTCACGTTTGTCGAGTTCTTGTTCCTCGTGCTTCGGTTATTACTAACAACGAATAGCAGTGATCGTGTTAACCCCTCTTGTGACAATTTACGGTACGCAACGTTTGTTTAGAAAATATTTTATTTTTCTGTCATTTTATGTTAATAAAATATCATAATATATTTACGAAACTATATGCTATATTTTCAATCTTTGTTTTTTTAAATATGTACTTTTAATTAAGTAAATTGTAAATTACAAAATTTACAATTTAGACGTATCAAGGAACACCGATATTAATTAGAAGTATCTCAATAAAAATTATTTGAACTTAAAAATATAAGACTCAAGTAAATATGTGAAAAAATGTTTATGTAATTTATTCACGTAATGTTTATATTAATTTATCGCCGCAGTATGATTTATGTCAAGATTTTCGGTACTTGTGAAAGCTACTGCGGTGAACACAAGCGTTTAATGAAAGACTACGTGTATTATGCACTAACGACGAAGGTGTCGTAGATCTCGGTGATCGTAGAACTGGTCGCCGTTAGACAGTCTGGTATTTCGAAGCGCGAGAGAAGGGTTTTCCTCAGGTTCTTCGGCTTCGATCCAGACAGAACGACCTCTCCCTCGCTAGAGGAAGGAAGGAAGGACGGACGGGAAGAACCGAGATATAGAAGCGAGTGCGTAAGAGAAATAGAGTGAGAAGGGTGCACGCATGACCCTGAACCCAACCGCCGTAGCACCTAAACCCTCCGGTACAGGGGTGCGAAACCTCGGGAGAGAGAGAAACTCGAGATAGAACGAACGAAGCAAGAGCAGAAGAGAGGAAACTACAGTGGGCAAGAGAAGAACAGAAGAGAGAGAGAGAGAGAGAGAGAGAGAGAGAGAGAGAGAGAGAGAGAAAGAAAGAGATAGAGATAGAGAGATAGAGAGACTCCGCCGTGGAGAGAGTTCCCCGAGATCAATACTCCCGCGTCTTGCGATCATTCATCTTGCCACGCCCCTCTGCTCTCTCCACACATTCCCTATCTTTCTCATTCTCTTTTCTTCATCTCCCTTTTCCCTGTCGTTCTCTCTCTCTTTCTCTCTCTCTCCCTCCCTCCCTCCTTCTCTCTCTCTCTCTCACTCACTCACTCACTCACTCACTCATTCTGTCTCTCCTTTCTTCTTTCTTCACCCTCCGCGTGCCACGATCTTCATCCCTCCGAGTAGTAGCACCCCTCATAGTCGTGGTCGCCGTCATTTGGCGCCCAATCGTGGCGCCTAATACGAATGGAGCAAAGGGGAGAGAACTTTCCGAAGGTCGCAGGAGAGAGGGAAATCTAGAGAGAAAGAGAGAGAACGGATAGCGCACAAGGTGGCTTCGGTTTCTTACGCTGACTATGCGCGTTTTTCATGGGAAAATAAGGATTTCTTAGATCTGCGCATCAGAAATATTTGAAGTTATATTAATTATTCGCGAATGATGACTATTATAAAGTAACATTGTACATAATCCATTAAACTTACATTTAAAATAAATATATTTTTTCATATATTGAGTTTTACAATAACAGAAGCACGATTCTGATTAATTAATGGTAATAGAGATAATAAAAAAAAAATCTACATAAGTCAACTTGCAACATGTAAGATATTTTGTCTGATCACAAATCTGATTGTTTTTATTTCATGTAGTGTGTGACAGAAGAAAGAAAATATTTAGCACATATAAAATATTTTAATTTACATTAAATTTCATATACATCAAATCAATATATTTATCGACATAATATGTATCCCTTTTAATCAAATTAATTTAAACTTTGTTTTTCTCTGTGCTTATATAGAAAATTTATAATACTTATTGGGATTATTTTCAAAGTTTGACATATATTTTATTAAGAGTATGATTAGTACTACTATATTTTTTTTTATTCATTAATATGGTATAATAAAAATAAGAAGATTTGGAACAATATGAATAAACTTTAAAATTAATTATTTTATTTAAGAACGAGCACCATTATCTTTTTCGGTCAACTTTGTGAAAATTTATTACGAAGAAGCAAAGTTAATCTAATTATAGTTAAGTTCACAATTCTAAGTAGGGAGTAAGAAATATATACAGCGTGTTAGGCAATAATTGTTTTTTCCAATTTATTACTGTTCATTGCTTAATTAGACAGATTGTTTACACAATGGAATAAAAAGAAAAATTTCGATATAAATCGAAGATGTAAAAGCGGTAAAGAAAATCAGACAGAATTTCGCGGAGCAGATGAGATAGAGGATAGTGAAGAACGCAGAGATCTAAGAGAAGGATCGGACTCGTCTCAGAGTCTCAGGGATGTCTCTGATAACTTTTCCTTTGAATCGCTTCCTTGCTGCTATCGCACCACCTGTCGCTGCCATCGCACTCGTTACATTTGCCGATCGTTCTCGCGCGCCGGTGGCTTCGTTCTTTCGTGGCGGACAAAAAGAAATCGAATTACGAAGACGCACAATCTGTCTACGATCGATTCGGTCATTCTTTTGTAGCCAATACAGACGACATGTTAAAAATAAATCGTTTATTCGACAAATTAATTCGCAAATAATTATAGTAACATAATTTCTACCAACTTCTACGCTATAATTTAAATAAATATTTTAAAATAATTTTATAGTGAATATAAACTTGGAATATTGTATATAGAAAAATGTGTTACACCCCGCATTTTTATTATTTGAATATTGTTTTTAATATATTTGCGTATTTATTTTTACATTTTTTTCTATGAATAAATTTAATTGTTGTCTGCGTTATATTGAATATTTTCTGTTATTTGATGTGCTTGAATAGGAAGATATTCTTAGGCACGTATAAATGAACTTTTCCCATATCGTAACTCCAACTCAACTAAACAATAATAACTCCCATTTATCTATGCTTGATAAGATAGCCCGCGACACATAATTTCACTAATTCTGACTTTTTTTATCGAATGTGCAGCAATGGAAGCCGAGGACGACGAAGAGGTCAGTGACAGAAATGATAAGTCCCAAGAATTTAAAACTACTTGGAGTTGGAGTCGTGACGGCGAGGGTGGGGAAGACGAGGCCGAGAACGAAGAGGTCAACGACAAGTCCAATAAATCCGATAAAATAGTTTGGCATTGCGAGTATGTCTATGACAGTAGATGGAAAGACGAAGGAGGTGGAGGAGACGAACAAGTCCTGCAAATCAGCCGCCTGCAGCAACACGCCATTTCCGAAACAAGCTACAACCGGTGAGTGACACATTCTTTTGTTATCGTTCTCCAAAGAGTCCGTGTATGTCGTACGATCCCATTTCTCTTGCTTTCGCAAATCCTCTATGATATATACGGAAAAAATTAAGTGTTGGCCGTATAACTATGCTAAAGACAAACACACAAACACACACACACGTGCTTCCTCTCAGCGATCATGACGTTCGCACGGAAAGACCGAGGGTACGACGACGTACATCGTACGAGAGATTGCTGCCGTTCGAACGCATAGTGCAAATTGCGCCGAAGTCGCTATGCAGCAAACCAGCATCTCTACCTTTTTCTATCCTTCTCGCTTTGCCCGTCATTATGCGCTTTTAACCACGATCCTATTCTGATCTTTCGATTAGATCGAACGATTTGCTGATTGACTAATTCAGTGACGATATACGCTCGATGCTATAGTGGCCCAGTAGTTTATCTGATGACTGGAGATACTGACGAGTGTATGTATTGTATACTTGAAATCATCATTGTGAGAGCATGAGAGCGCGATTACCTTGAAATAGAAAAGTAGACTTACCAAAACATATTATTATACAATAAAATTCTAACAAAGTTGCTCTCAGCGTTTAAAAGTTGCTCTTTTCTATCGCGATTGTTGCCGCAGGCTTAACAAATTTGTTCGGTTAGACAAATATAGGATTTTCTTATATTTCTTGAGAAAGCTTATTTTTAGTTTCGTACTCTTCCGCTCGACGGCTCATATCGCACGGACAGAAACTCACTCGACATATTAGCCACTACGAGAAGAAGAGGCTGTGCCATGCACGATTCGGACGAGCGCAGGCTACGCCAAATATACGCGGTGCGTCAGCGTCGCGGCGCGCGGCGTCGCGTCCTCCCTTCCTCTCTCTCTCTCTTTCTCTTTCTCCGTTTTCAACCGGACGGCGGGCGCCTCGTTTGAGGTCAACGTCATCCGGTCTCTTTCGCTCTCTTTCCTACTCTCGCGACTGTCCTTCCTTTTCTTTTGCGGTATCCTTTATACTGTCTCTTCCCCTATCTGTCTCTTTCTCGTTCTCTCGTTTTCTTCATTTATCTTCGTTTTCTTGTTCGGGACACTTGAACGCGTCTCGGATGAGCAAACTTTGAAGCAAGCATACGCGGCTACATTTCTATATGCCCGCAAACACAGGGTCATCGAAAACATTGTCTTGCAGAATTAAAACATCGATGTAAAAAAGAACGCGAAAAGACCGCTTCGTATTAAAGAAGGTGTTTTTTTTATATCTTCGCAACTTTTATATTCATACGCGGAGAAAGAAACAAGTCATTTTTGTACAGTCTCATAAATTTGTTTTACAGTTTTTTTTACAATGTGCTTTTAGAAGCACTTGATATGAGAACTGACACTTGCACTCGACAGTGCAAAAAGTATAAAAAAAACTTCGTAATGAATATTTTCTTCATTAGAGCAATTTTCAAAATAAAAAAAGAATGTGTTCTCTCTCGAATCTTTAAGTACTTCAACAGCAAGGATTATTGTACGGAAAATCTCTCCTTGTAACCTTATTAAAAATTCCAGGAATTATTACGCGTAACTGCACGAGAAATATAAATCTTCTACGGTAGAAGGGCTTTCGATTCGCCTCGCGGTTAAGTAGACAGGCGCCAAGTACACGCACAACACGTATTGTATTTTAATTAAATTAGTTTTTTATTTATACTCCATTATTATTATACTCCAAAAACTTCTTTCTCTACACTGAGAAAAAAATACTATTAACTCAACTAAATGCGTTTAGTTGAGTTTCAGTTTGTTATCTGAAATATCTTGTTTTTTTAATTCAAGCATATGGTAATAAAGATAACAAATTCGTATAAGTTGAATTAACAATAGTGGTAATGAACATATTTAACCGTTTTAGTGCCACGCAGCGCGATCGCGCTGTTCGCGTGCTGTAAGAAACTGTATCGCGATGTTCGATCGCGATCGGCAGTTAGCAACGCTCTCGGTTTGGAGTGTACCTTGTCGCGAGTCTGTCAGACTTCCCTCTCGTAATTATTAAAAAATTTGAAGCGCGAACGCGCCGCGTGGCATTTTTCGACGAAAAAAAGGAGCAGCGCGACCGCGTCGATCGGCATTACTCGCAGATAAATGAAGGAAGCGCTATCGCGCTTCATGGCACAATCCGACACGGATTTTTAAAAACCCCTGGCACTAAAACGGTTAATTCACTAAACCATGAATTGTTTTGTCGAACATAAGTTGTGATAATTTCAAACAAAAGATACTGTTAAAAAAGATGAAATAGGCAATTCTCATTTACTTTAATTAAATATAATCTGAATTTCTTTGTACTAAGTATTTTATCTAATCAAACTGCTTATTTTTATAAGCAGACAAAATATTGTGTTGTCCTATTGTGTTGTACATTCAAAGTTACCTGTATTTAAGCAAATTATAATTTTGTTGAAACAACTAAATTGTCTTTCGGTATAACCTAATTATTATATCTATTGAAACATGATATCTTCTTGCATTAATCAATATTTCATTGACAGCCCGTGACCGCTGCATATAGTTGAATCGAATAGTATTTTGTTATTTCAACAACTTTTTTTTCTCAGTGTAT